TGTCTTCAGGTCTTTGCTCATACTTTCTTCTCCCCCTGGAATGCCCTTTCCTACTACTGCTTTGCAAAATCCTACCCCTTCTGCAATGCTCGTCCTAGATACCAGCTCCTTTGTGAGGCCTTTCTTAACCCCTGCTTATCCTCTCAACCAGACATAATTGCTCTCTTACTAAACTCTTTGTGCTTCTGCATTGTACTTAAACCATTCTCTCTTTCATCCTCCTCTAGCCAACTCTGGATGTTAACACATCTTAAAGCTCTTTGTCAAACACATAATTAAATTGCTAGTGACAACATCTGAAATGATTTCCATTTGTAGCATTCAGTCCAGTGGTGCTAGCTTATATTAGGCTTGAAGTGAGCAGAATGTTCTGGATTTAGCTCTGTTTCTTGAGAATTCACTGCACTCTAGTTTCATTTTAACTCCTGAGTTTCATAATATGTTTTGGCTTATAATTTTGTTTTAAGAAAAGGGAAAGGGGAAGGCTTTTTTATTTATTTTTTATTTTTTATTTTTTTTAGATGGGGTCTTGCTGTGTTGCCCAGGCTGGAGTGCAATAGCATGATCATAGATCATTGCAGCCTCAAACTCCTGGACTTAGGCAGTCTTCTCACCTCAGCCTCCCAAAGTGTGGTGATTACAGGTGTGAGCCACTTCACCTGGCTGGGAAAATATTTTAAGTTCATAAGACTTAAAGAAGAGCAAATGGAGGACATACATGGTTAGGGCAGTTATTATGCAGTTTAAATAAATTCTGCTTCACAGTTGTGATCTTTACATAGGGAAATATATTTTCCTTTAACACTCTAATCTTTTAAGTAATTACAAAAGAAATAGTTTGTTTCATGCTTAAAATAGCTGCCCTGGAGAAGGTAGGCATCACTAAAGCTAATTGATCTTTATCATCATGTTAACAAGTGGCGGCTTTATGGGAGGAAAACTTCCTTCCATTAGGGTCAGTCTTCTGCCAATTGGTTATTCCTTCCACTCTCCTATGTCTATTTCATTCCTGTACATTGTCGTCTATATTGCCCATCTCTTTCTAAAGGGGCTTTCTTTTTTTTCTTTTTTTTAGAGTGAGTCTCGTTGTGTCACCCAGGCTGGAGTGCAGTGGTGAGATCTTAGCTCACTGCGACCTCCACCTCCCAGATTCAAGCAATTCTCCTGCCTCAGCCTCCCGAATAGAGAAGTTAAAATTACAGGTGTGCACCACCATGCCCAGCTAATTTTTGTATTTTTAGTAGAGACGGGAGATCACCATGTTGGCCATGCTGGTCTTCAACTCTTGACCTCAAGGGATCTGCCTTCCTCGGCCTCCCAAAGTGCCGGGATTACAGGCATGAGTCACTGTGCCCAGCCTAGAGGGGCTTTCTTATCAGCCTTTAAACACATTTGAGTCCCTACTGCCTTCTCAAACACCCAACCTGGACTAATCAACATCCACATCTCTAGCTACTACCCTTGCACCCTTGCTGTCACAGCCAAACTTCTTTAAAACTTCCTCTATCCCTCACCTCCCATTTACTCTTCAACTCATGCCAATCTGGCTTCTGCCCCTACTTTGATACCCAAATCCTTCTCAGTAAGCTGTACACCCAGTGATCAGTTTTCAGCCCTCCTGTATCTTATGTGTTATTCTCTCGGCTGCTTGCCCAATTAGCTCTCCTCCCCATGCCTCAAATAGTCTTTGCCATGGCTCCTGTGATACCACATCCTCCTGGCTTTCCCACTACCTCTCGGCAGCTCCTTTTCAGTGTCTTGCATAGACTCCTACTTTTCTACATCGCTTTGCATGTAGGAGTCCCTTAAGGTGCACCCTCATCTCCTGCTTGCTATGGTCTGAATGTTTGTGTCTCTCCTGAATTCATATGTTGAAATACTAATTAATAAGGTAATGATATTAGGGGGTGGGCCCTTTTGGGAGGTGATTAAGTCAGTGGGGATACAGTCCTCATAAATGGGATTAGTGCTCTCATAAAAGAGGCCCTGGAGAGCTGCCTTGGCCCTTCTACCCTGTGAGGATGCAGCTCTACAAGGTGTCATCTATGAGGAATGGCCCTCGCCAGACACTGATTCTGCTGGCATTTTGATCTCAGAATTCCCAGCCTCCAGAACGATGAGAAAAATTTCTGTTTTGATCAGTTTTATTAAAACAGCCTGCATGGATTAAGATACTGCTTTTCTCCCTTTATACATCCTCCTGAAAGATTTCCTCTACTTCTGTGGCTTTAATTCCCCTATATATGCGGATGACTCCTGATCTTACATCTCCAACCCAGTCCTTCCTCCCAACTCTACTATTATGTGTCTAGCTGCCTACCTAACTTGTTTAATTCCATGTATCACAGGCATCTCAAATTCAACTTGTCCAAACCCAGATTCCTGATCTGCCTTTTCTAGCTCTGGTTCTCTTCATCATATTTCTAGTTGCAGGAAAGGGGCGCACCATTTACCCAGTTACTCAAGCCTGAAACCTGGCATCCTCTTCCTTCCCCAGACATGCCATTTGAGCACAGTCATTTTTCTACCAGTCGATGTTGCAGTGAAGATAAAGTTCCAAATCCTTGACATGCTCCAGCCTTCCCCTGTGAGCTGAGCACTCCCACAAGAAGCTCCCCTACCTTCCATCCCCAGCCATTCTGACCTTCTGTATCTTTTGTGGACCCTGCTTCTGCCAGCCCCAGGCCCTTCCTTATTTATGCTGTCCCTTTTCCTGGCCCTCTTGCCTGGCTAACTTCTGCTCACCCTTCAGTTTGTGAACTATTTATATGCTATTCCAGGACCCTGAACTTCCTTATGGCAGCCATCCTGATTGTAATTAGATTATTTGTATTGTTTTGTTCAGTGTCTATCCCCTCTGCTGGACATTTACTTCACATAGGCAGGGACGGGGTTTCTTTGTTCACTGCTGTGTCCCAGTTACCACCCCAGTTCCCAGCCAGGAAAAGAAAAGATGGTTGTTTCTCTGCTTTGATAAAATACCCAGACAAAAGGATGCCCTTATCGCTCTTGCACCTCCTTCCTGAATCTTCCTTGGTTGTCACCAGCAATGATCTATTATGTCTGAGCTGAATGTTTCTCACTGCATGCTCATTTGCTCAGAGGAAATAGAGGAGGGACTGTTTTTTCGCTTTCTCTTTCTCTTTAGCCTTTATTCCTAACGCTTGTTTCTAGTCATTTCTTTTAACCAGCTTCCTGAGAAGAATTTCCATTGTCTTTTCTGAACTTTCTTTTAGACCATGAGAAAACAAAAGTTTATTCTGATTTTGGGTCGAAACCTGACACTGAAATTGGTGGTGGTAAGTACATTGCCGAGTAACTGAGATACATTTATACTATTTTTAAAAATACTTTTCTTTTTCTGATTATAGGAGTGATTTTATTGTTAAGAACAATTTGAGAATACAATCAAGGGTCAAGAAGAGAAGAAATGGTAGACATTCCTCTCAGAGTTTTCTATTATAGAATAAGGTCCTGCTGTACATATGAATTTTGTCCGCCTGTTTTTACTTCACATTGATATTTTGATAAAAGCCCTGAAAAATGGGAGTGAAACCTAATAGACTGCAGTTTCGGTCAACCCCCAGGGCAAATAAGACTGGTCAGCAGCTTCTAGCAGGACCTGCTTCCTCTAGAAGCAGAGAAAGGAAGAGTAACAGGCTGCCCTGAGACCAGGCTCTGCAGAGCCTCCCTCCTGCCTCATACATGTCAAGCCTGCCCTGTCCTGGTGCTTGCAGTGTCTATCGGCTGGACACCCCGCCTCTTGGGTGATGCCTTCCACGCAGGACATCTCCATCACATTGCTCTCTGTTGCGGTGTGTTCCTTAAGCCAAACTTTCTAGGTTTAATTGCATTGGATGTTCATGGATCCTTGTGTCTCAGACTAATTGTCTGTGTATTTGTTGATATTTGTTCTTGTCTATTTTGATTTTACTTTTTCAAGGCAAGAGACATGTTTATTTTGTCTTTTATAGTGCCTAGTGTGGAGTTTGGTGCCCAATCAATAATCTTTTTTTTTTTTTTTTTGAGACAGAGTCTTGCTCTGTTGCTGAGGCTGGAGTGCAGTCGCGCCATCTCAGCTCACTGCAACCTCCACCTCTAGATTCAAACGATTCTCCTGCCTCAGCCTCCCGAGTAGCTGGGATTACAGGCACCTGCCGCCACGCCCGGCTGACTTTTTGTATTTTTACTAGAGACGGAGTTTTACTGTGTTAGCCAGGATGGTCTTGATCTCCTGACCTTGTGATTCACCTGCCTCGACCTCCCAAAGTGCTGGGATTACAGGCATGAGCCATCGTACTCAGCCAATAATCTTAAATAGTCTAAAAATAATGTTCTGCCCAAATTAGAGATAGCCAAATTGGAGTCCAGTTAAAATTGCCCTTTTATTTCATAATTTTATCCATTAATTCAGGGAGCATTTAACAGTGTCTGACACAGTTACTAGGCATGGAGTATACATTAGTGAATAAAACAGGGCTAGTTCCTCTTAAGGCTGGGCTTCTAGGCTAGTTTGTTTACTTATTTATTGAGACGGCTCTTGAAGCCCAGGCTGGAGCAGTGGCGAGATCTCGGCTCACTGCAACCTCCGTAACCTGGGTTCAAGCGATTCTTCTGCCTCAGCCTCTGGAGTAGCTGGGACTACAGGTGTGTGCCACCACCTCCTGGCTAATTTTTGTATTTTTAGTAGAGACGGGATTTCACCATGTTGGCCAGGCTGGTCTCCAACTCCTGACCTCAAATGATCTGCCCACCTTGGCCTCCCAAAGTGCTAGGATTAGAGGCATGAGCCACTGATCCCAGCCTCTAGGCTAGTTTAATACCAGATGTTATACAGATAATAAATCCATAGTTTGAATTTGTGATGAGAGTTATGAAGGAACATGGCAAGGTGCCCTGAGAGTGCACTAAAGCAGGGGTGTCCACTCTTTTGGCTTCCCTGGGCCATATTGGAAGAAGAAGAATTGTTTTAGGCTACACATAAAATATGCTAATGAGCTAAAAAAAAAAAAAGGTTGCAAAAAAAAATCTCTTAATGTTTTAAGATAGTTGATGACTTTGTGTCGGGCCTCATTTGAAGCTGTCCTGGTCAGCATGCAGCCTGTGGGCCACGGCTTGGACTAAGGGGACATCTACAGGAGCAGGCATGGGGTGTTGGAGGAAGCCTGGAGGCTGAACCCTGAAGAGAAGGAGAGGGTGGGTCAAGGTGAGGACATGAGCTCTTTCTGAGAGGGAACCAACCAGAAGGTGAGGCATTCAAGGTAGAGAGTGGTAAACAAAAGGGGAAAACGGAAATGGTTATCTCTTTACTTTAGTAACTGGGAATGTAAGTCTCCACATGTCGTGTGTCTCTATTCTTTCTAAACTTTTCAAGGGATGCATTTAGCCTTCCTACAAGAGTATTTTGATTTGCCTTTGAGCAGGTCTTTCTGAACCTGCTGTCCTATCCCACATTTATTGACACTTTTGCTGATGTTTCTGAAAGGCAACTGGGAAGGGCACTAGCAAGTCAGGTTTTTAACACCTGTCTGTGGGTTCAACAAAGAGGAATTCAGCTCTTCTCGACTGCAGATGTTGTGTTGTATTCTGGGTCCCACAGGAGATCTTGACTGATCCAGGAGTGTCCCCTTGAGGAAGAAGGACCCTTAGCCACCAGCTGCCTCCCAGCATTCCTCCCCAGGGATAGAAGTCACCCACTTTATGAGCAAGTCCTTAACAAGGAAAGAAGACAGCACTTGAAATTTTCATTGAGCTGTTGGGATTTGTTTCAGAAGACCATTTTGTCCCAGTGTGGATAAGAGCTTATTCCTTCATTCAACAAATGTTGAGTGCCTTCTGTGTCTAGCACATTTCCAGTGCTGAGATACAGCAGTAAATAGCTTCCATGTCTGTGGATGAAAACAAACTGGAAACAAATAAGCGAAATACAGAGGGTGTCAGCCAGTTTATAATGGCCACAGAGAAAATTAAAGGAGGGAAGGCAGCCTTAGGGAGAGTCACTTGGGAAGTGGAGACAGGTGTTGCAGTTGTTAAAAATAGCATCAGGAAAAGGCTTACTGGGTGACATTTGAGCAAAGATTTGTATCTGGGGGAAGAGCATTCCAGGCAAGAGGCCACAGTGGGTGCTATGGCCTTGCAGGAACGTGCTTGGGATATTTGCGGAACAGCACAAATCCCGCAGTGGCTTGAATACAAGCAGTGAGAGGGAAGAGTATGAAAAAGAGGAGGTGAAAGGGAAAAGGGAAGACCATGCACATGGGGCCTTGTGGCCGCTGTGAATACTTTGGCTTTCTCTCTGGTTAAACAGGAAGATGCTGGAGGCTGTTAAATTGACTGTAGGGGAAAGGGTGGAAGGAGACTCTGATGAGATGGTGGTAGCATGGATCTAGATGGAGGTGGTGGAAAGAGGTCAGGTTTGAGATCTGTTTTGAAGGGAGAGCTGATGGACTGGATAAGAGCTGTGTGAGAAAGAAGGATTGGGAGAGGAATACGTTATGGACTTGTTAAATTTAGATCCATATTAGGGTGCTCATGTCAAAAATGTAGTTGGGTGTATGAGTCTGGAGTCAGGGTCTGAGAAGCCTGGGTGGGAAGGGTGTCTGTGAGCCATCTGTGAGCATATGGTATTTACATCCACGAGACTCTGGAGTGACTGTGTGTTGGGTAAGAACTTCAGTGCCAAGGGGTTGGGGACATGAGAGCAATCAGTGAGGGAGACAGAGGAAAGGGGGCCGGTGAGGAGGTGGAAACCAGGTCTGATGGTGAGTGGCTCTCTGGATCCCTGTGCAGGTGTGACAACGTGCGTGTGTTTAAGCTGGGCCTCTTCTCGGGCCTCTGGTGGACCCTGGCCCTGTTCTGCTGGATCAGTGACCGAGCTTTCTGCGAGCTGCTGTCGTCCTTCAACTTCCCCTACCTGCACTGCGTGTGGTAAGCCCCTGCTAATGGGGAGGTGGCGGGGGACAGGTGTGTTTGAACTTGCTGTTGGGCTCTGTTCACCCTGCAAGGTGCACAGGTGTCCTGGGGGTTGCTGGCTTGCTTCTCTCCTCAGGTGCACTGTCAGGTGGTTCAGAAGCCCCTGAAAGTACAGTTTGTAAAAAGCTCCAGGGAGCAGGCTTAGCTAGAACAAAAGGCCTGATTGTCATGCTTAGGTCTGCAGTCTCTTACCTCTAACTCCATTATGAAAGCCTAAAGAAGCTGGAGAACTGAATCTGTAACCTGAGCTCTATCTAGCTGTTGCGGGAGGGGAGAGGTAGGGGAAAGCTGGGGAAAGAGGTGATGTGAGGGCGGGGAGGGTCCTCAGTAGGAACCCCACCTTTAGGGCCTGAGTGACCAAGTGAAAGGAGGGGCCGCACAGGCCATTTAGGGACACTCTTTTCCATTATTTCTGTAAGTGGAGACAGAATACCAGAGAACTAAAATGAATTGTTTAATATCACCCACCTGTTTATATAAAAAACCTTGGAGTTCAGTAATAGCAAATTATAGCATCTGTACTTTGGAATGTTCAGGATACACTATGTTAAAAAAAAAAGCGGGTTAGAAAAATACATGCAGAATCTGATTCTGACAAAGCTGGGGGAAATCAGAGGGGCTTACTTCCTAGAAACTGCTTCAGCTCAAACCCAGAGTGATCATTCCTTCTCTGTCCTCCAGGACTTCTGATTGCAAAAGATCACAAGGAGGAGAAATCTGCTGTAGATTATTGCTTACAGATGAAGGGAACCCAAGGAGAAATTCTAGTGGTGAAGAAATGGAAAAACTTTAGATCTAGATTCTGGAAAAGGTTGACTCCTATCCAGAGATGGGCTAAAGATACACAATTTGATAGAATTCGGTTAAGTTCCCTTGCTCATGTGAACTTGTATATGTTTACCATGAGACCCACTCTACTCAAAATGTAGGACTTGGGAACTTCAAGAAGTGTTTGCAAAAAACAGAACTCAAACAGCACAAGTTGGAATTTACAGTCACATCTGTCAGTCTTTTCTTTAGGGTTTTTGGATTTTGTGTGATTTTTAAGAAGACCGCCTCCCTCCACCATCAAAATTTATAAAAATATTGTGTTTGGGCCAGGTACAGTGGCTCACGTCAGCACTTTGGGAGGCTGAGGCAGGTGGATCACCTGAGGTCAGGAGTTCAAGACCAGCCTGGGTAACGTGGTGAAACCCCATCTCTACTAAAAATATAAAAATTTGCCAGCTGGGCCTGTTGGTGGACACCTGTAATCTTAGCTGTTCGGGAGGCTGAGGCAGGAGAATCAGTTGAACCCAGGAGGTGGATGTTTCGTGAACTGAGATAGTGCCATTGCACTCTAGCCTGGGTGACATTATAATTTAAAATATATTTAAAAATTTTAATTCATCTGGGTTTAAGTTTCAGTTTAGGTATAAGAAAGGATTACATAGCCGGTTGTGGTGGTCCACGCCTGTAATTTCAACACTTTGGGAGGCCAAGGTGGATGGATCACTTGCGGTCAGGAGTTCCAGACTAACCTGGCCAACATGGTGAAACCCCGTCTCTACTAAAAATACAAAAATTAGCCAGACGTGGTGGTGAGTGCCTGTAGTCCCAGCTGCTCGGGAGGCTAAGGCAGGAGAACTGCTTGAATCCAGGAGGTGGAGGTTACTGCTTGAACCCAGGAGGTGGAGGTTATAGTGAGCTGTGATTGCACCACTGCACTCCAGCCTGGGTGACAGAGAGAGACTTCACCAAAAACAAGGAAACAAAAAGGATTGCATGCTTTTAAATGGTCTATTGTTTGATAAAGATTAATATTACAACTTTTTACAGGTACAGTGAGGATAAATTTTTTTTAAATTGCCACTAAACTGGAAAAGTGGTTTAATCAACATAAAATTATTCCTGATGAAGGGCATAAAATATCTGTAACCAGTGGTTAAAGTGCAAAGGTGGGATCTAATCAGATGTGTTCAGTTACTTCCATCTTAGCACCTCTGTTTTAAGTCCTTGGGCCTCAGTCTTCTTGTTTGAGGCCCAAAGGCATTTATTTGCACATTTGTTCCTATTATCCAGCAGCAATATTTTAGGACATTCTAAGTTGGGTCCCAAACTGCCCAAGATTTATCATCCTGCTATTCCAGGGATTGTTGGTCATCTTTATTCTTTCCTAGCTAGAAGAGGCCCCTGGGCTGCAACTACAGTGAGCAAGGTGGGTGGGTTAGCCCAGAAGAAGGAGCAGGCTAAACTCAGGGCAGTGGAGTCTTCATGCTCATCAGGCTCTTACCTCTTGTCTCCCTCTGCAGGCATATCCTCATATGCCTTGCTGCCTACCTGGGCTGTGTATGCTTTGCCTACTTTGATGCTGCCTCAGAGATCCCTGAGCAAGGCCCTGTCATCAAGTTCTGGCCCAGCGAGAAATGGGCCTTCATTGGTGTCCCCTATGTGTCCCTCCTGTGTGCCAACAAGAAATCATCAGTCAAGATCACGTGATGGCGAGGTGGTGGCTGGCTTCTCCGCTTACCGCCCCTCATGCATTGGGCTTCCTTTGCTAGGAAGACAGCCAACGGAGTTTGAAGAGTTGGGGTGTGGGCTATCTTTTCAAAAATCTATTTGCTGGGGCTCTCCCTAATGTGTCTATGGACCACCAGGATTCCACTGTGCAAGGGGAAAAGTGTCTTTTCCTTTCCCAAAGATGGAAAATGGAGGACTTAGGGACACCAGATGCATCTTTCTCAGCATCACTTCCAGATGCAGTGACTCATTGGGCTGTGTCCTTTGTGGCCATGGCAGAGCAGTGTTTTGGGGGATCCACCCTGTACAATGCATCTCTTCCTGGAGAAAGCTGGCCTGTTCCAGACCCCACCATTCCCAGGTACCCTTGGAGTGGACTCTACTGATGACAGACAGACCGACCCTCTGACAGACAAGACTCTCTGACTCTCTGATGGAAGATGCCAGAGATTTTCCTTTGGGGTAATTGTCCTTAAACAAAACCAAACCGATGAAACACATGCAGGACTTGTGGCTAGAAGGCTATTTTTCACTTGTATTTCTCAACTAACCCAAGTTTTACATGCATTTGTGAATCTTTTTACTACTACCTCTGTGGAGAGATGGAGAGACTTCAGATAAAGGTGAAGCTAATGAGTAAAACCCTCTTACGCCAAAACCTACACACCACTTTAGGCCATTCTTGAAGATAAGCACAATTTTTGAATACTGACATCATTTCTGCCTCCCCCTCTCACCCCAGCTCCGCAGACTCAAATCCACGGAGAAGAAGAATTATGGCATGAACATTTCCACAGACCCACCATCTTTAAGACTTGACCTCTGTAAGTTTACCAAAGGGCTCCTCACAATTGTGGTGTGGGTTCTGGTTCAAAATTTGGAGCAAACATGAATTTTTTGGATACTTTTTCTCATTCGAAGCCTCCAGTATGCTGTACTATTCTGGAAATTCCCTTCAAGAATCTCACTTCTTGTTTCTGTTGTTTTTTCTGTGGGCATCATGCTCTTCACTCTTTCAGTAGAAGGTGCTTTCTGGGTTTTCCAGAGTATCCGATGGCTTGCTTTTCTCAAGTACTGGCAGTAACTACGCACTCACGGGCTGGTTTGGGTTGCTGGTGTAGCAGCGCAAATCTGTTGCCTTCTGAATTTTTCTCACCTGATGTGGGAAGGACACTGGCTACAATTAATCTTCTCTTCATCCGGGTGAATGGAAGAATCAAGAACTGTCTTCAAGGTGTATGGTGGGAATTACCAACCTCAGGGATACTAATTTTAACTCAGGCGTGTCCTGCTTTGTAACATTCCATTGTCAGTAGAGGGCGGGACAGGTGTTTTCTTGTGTGGGCAGGAGTCATGTCACTGTCGTACATATGTAAGAGTTGGGAAGGTGACCATTTTTGGGAAATCCAGGAACTCTTACTCTAGTTAGAATTTGTACAAGATCCAAGGGGAAAACCCCGATAAGCAACTGAATTTAGAGTTTAAGAATGAATGACTTTATGCTATTTCTCTGATTATCAAATTATATAGGTTGTTCAAAAGCAGAACACTGTCGTAAGAAATCTTTGTGGAGGCCTAGCATGGTGGCTCACGCCTGTAATCCCAGCACTTTTGGAGGCTGAGGCAGGCAGATCACCTGAGATCAGGAGTTCAAGACCAGCCTGACCAACAGGGAGAAACCCCGTCTCTACTAAAAATACAAAATTCAACAGGGGTGGTGGCTCATGCCTGTAATCTCAGCTACTTGGGAGGCTGAGGCAGGAGAATCACTTGAACCTGGGAGATGGAAGTTGTGGTGAGCTGTGATTGTGTCATTGCCTTCCAGCCTGGGCAACAAGAGTGAAACTCTGTCTCAGAAAAAAAAAAAAAAAGAAAGAAAAAGAAATCTTTGTGGAACCTTAGTGTGGGAAATAAATCGTATTTTGTTAAATTTACAGCATTTACTTAATAACATAAGGTGGTGAAAATGCAAATTAACAAATTGGTAATTTCCAAGGTAGAAAAATTAGGTGTTGAATTTATTCAACATATATGTTGCTTTATTATAGTTTATATATATAGAGAGACAGTGTTTTGTTTTTGAGTCAGGGTCTCGCTCTGTCACCCAGGCTGGAGTGCAGTGGTGCAGTCACGACTCATTGTAGCCTCTGTCTCCCAGGCTCAAGCGATCCTGCCACCTCAGCCTCATGAGGAGCTGGGACTACCAGTGCGTGCCACCACTCCCAGCTAATTTTTGCACTGGTGTGTGCCAGCATTCCCAGCTAATTTTTGTATTTTTTTTTTTTTTTGAAGAGATGGGGTTTCACCATGTTGCCCAGGCTGGTCTCAAACTCCTGAGCTCAAGAGATCCGCCCACCCTGGCCTCCCAAAGTGCTGGGATTATAGGCGTGAGCCATCACACTCAGCCTAAAAAATATTTTTAAAATGATCTTTGAATTAAATATTCGTGGAGCTTCTAATGTACCTCTTTGAGACCTAGGTGGTTGGTGGAACAGAACTGCTGTTAAGTCCAGGGTTTCAAGTCTAGAATTTTTTAAAGGCAAATATCACACCATCCTCATTTTAGATTGACCTTATCAGGCATGGGTTCTGGTCTCATCTATTTTATGGCATAAATGCTCCAAGGTAGGGGGTTTGGTGTATATTTTAAGCCCAGCTAAATGTGAAAAGCAGAAGTGCTTCTAGAAACTGGTTCTAAAGAGATGAGCTGAGAAAGAAATGTGGAATGGAGTATTTTTGAGGAGGACAAAACATAACTTCATGTTTGAATAGAAATCCCTCTAGCTTGCCAGCATGGAATATAAACCGAGAGAGTAGAGATATACCCATCTTATTTTAAGTTGGGTTTATGGCATCACTCATTTATGTAGAAGCATTACAAACTCTTTAAAGAAAATTGGGAAACTGCAGAAAAGTTGAAGAAAAAAAAAGTAACCCATATTTCTATTGCCCAGGTATAACCCTTGTTAAGTTTTGGTATAGTCTCATCTTTTTCCCCCCAATATAGTTGTAAATAAATGATGTCTTTCAGAGTTGACATTTATCCTG